CTCTACACTGCTCAAAAACTCGTGTTTGAATCGTCAGTGGCAAATCCTTTAAATGCGAAAACATACTTACAGTCTGTGAGTCAGAACAGAACATTGTAGTCTACTCTCCCAGGATCAGGAAACAGTCCTCCATAAAATGTGCTGCACACATCTGAATATTTGGGTTGAAGTGTTCTGGAACAGTGTTGTAAATACAACTTAACCACTGATTTCTAATCGTGTCCTCTTTTGGAAGACCAAACAAAGTAATTTCGCTTTCACAACGAAGCACACAGCGTCTTCACGACATGGCGGCGAAAGCAACAATACTACAGCGAGAATAAAAGTTACGTCCTTCTTTCTTTGCGTGAACATTTGGGCGGCGTTATGCAAATCTTCCCACATAGTGATGTAGACATGTGGGGGCGTGTTAGAACGAGCCGTTTTAGGTAGGTGTGGCTGACTCTGAACTTTTATAAAGAATATCTCTTTGGATTTGAGACTTTAGTCTTTGCAACTTTACAGATCTTCTTTATGCACCAAGAGCTTGTAACACTCCAAAGAGAAAGGAACAATTGAAATCACATCATATGACCCCTTTAAGGAGAATTACAGAAGGGTTAAAAAACACTTTACTACTGTTTTAAAGTAGGGATGCACTGTGATACCACTTTTTCCAGAACTAGGCCGATACCGAGTACCAATACCTGTATTTTCATTGCATTTGTAATTTAAAAAAAATATTGGTTACAGAATCCAAAAGAATGTTAAAAATTAGTTGGCTTAGTTCATTTGTCAAACAAATATTTCCTTCAGTTATTTTCACACTTAATTATTCCCATTAAAATGTTTTTTTACAAGTTTTTGTTACTTTCACTGTTAATTTTTTTTATCATCTTTAATTTGATAGCATTAGAGCTGCTCCATTGCAGCGGCTCAGTATTGTAATCACAAGACGTTTTGCTGTAATAATGCAGGGAACGACTCGTTATATATAAATCTTGTAACTATGAAGAACTTTTGTTTTAATCTGAAACATGCTGCGATTTATATTCCAAAGTGACTCATATAATGCAAAACACTCATGAAGCAAGCTAAACATGCGCAACACCGCACATATTTGTACTGCTGCAGAATGAGAGAGATGCGCGTAAAGCCTAGCGCATTTCACACAGACTGCTAATTCAACTTTCACCATAAAGTCGAAACACTTTATAACAGGCATTTGAAAACGCATGTCTACCGTCTTCCCAAATTTGT